TAAGATCATGGCATCTGGTCCCATCACTTCATGGCAAATAGATGGGGAACAGTGGAAACAGTGTCAGACTTTATTTTGGGGGGCTCCAAAATCACTGCAGATGGTGACTGCAGCCATGAAATTAAAAGACGCTTACTCCTTGGAAGGAAAGTTATGACCAACCTAGACAGCATATTAAAAAGTAGAGACATTACTTTGCCAACAAAGGTCTGTCTAGTCAAGGCTATGGTTTTTCCAGTGGTCATGTATGGATGTGAGAGTTGGACTATAAAGAAAACTGAGTGCCAAAGAATTGATGCTTTTGAACTGTGGTGTTGGAGAAGACTCTTGAGAGTCCCTTGGAATGCAAGGAGATCCAACCAGTCCATCCTAAAGGAGATCAGTCCTGGGTGTTCATTGGAAGGACTGATGTTGAAGCTGAAACTCCAGTACTTTGGCCACCTGATGCGAAGAGCTGACTCATTTGAAAAGACCTTGATTCTGGGAAAGATTGAGGGCAGGACGAGAAGGGGACGACAAAGGATGAGATGGTTGGATGGTATCACTGACTCAATGGGCATGGGTTTGGGTGGACTCCAGGAGTTGGTGATGGACAGGGAGGCCTGGCGTGCTGCGGTTCATGGGGTTGCAAAGAGTCGGACACAACTGAGCAACTGAACTGAACTGAACTGAAAACAAAATCTGCTGTAAGATTCAAATCATATCTGTTATAAGATTCAAAAAACAACCTAAGTCTTAAAACATAATATTAAAAATGTCTAGGATACAATCCAAATTTATTCACCATAACAAAAAACCAGGGAAATATCAATAGCAATGCTGGGATGCCACAGATATTGGAATTATTTGACCAAGACTTTAAAGCAGTTATCATATTTTCCTACAAGTAAGACAGAACAAACATTCTTGAAAAATATAGAAAGCCTCAGCAAAGAAACAGAAGGCATAAAGAAGAATCAAGTGGAAATGTTAGAAGTGAAAAAATTCAACAACTAAAATAAAAAATCATTGGCTGGGCTCAGTAACATGATGGAGATGACACAGGATTCAGTAATTTTATAAGCAGATCAACAGAAGTGAATAATTGACAGAGAAAATATCAGAAAAGAAAATGATTAGAACTATAGGGATATGTAGGACAGTAACAAAAGGTTTAACCTTTATATCATTGAAGTCCCATTAGGTACAGTAGAAAATCTTTGAAGAAATAGCTGAAAGACTCGTTTGCTATTAGAAGGCAATCAATGTAATACATTATATTAGCAGTTTAAAGAAGAGAAACAACTCAATCATATCAATTGATGTAGAAAATGCATTTGGAAAAAAAAAAAACTGTTCATAATGAAACTCTCAGCAAACTAGGAACAGAAAGGTATTTTCTTCACCTGACAAAGAACATCAACCAAACCCACTCTGCATAATGGTGAAAGATGGAAAGCTTTCTCCCTAAGATCAAGAACAGGGCAAGGATGTTCCCTTTCATCACTCTTATTCAACATTTTACTGGAGGTTTTAGCTAGTGCAATAAATAGGAATAAGTGAAGAATAAGTCAAGAAAAATAAATAAAAGGCATACATTGGAAAGGAAACAACATAATTGAAGAAATAGAAACTTTTAAGGAATAGACATACATACACAGTTGAACAAATAACTGAGTGTAGTGTAACTGTAGGATATAAGAACAGCATGCAAAAATCAATTATATTTTTACATACTAGCAATGAACAATTAGAAAATGAACTTAAACCATATATAGAAGTTCAATCCCTCCCCAAAGATGTATCTTACAAAATATGTATAGGATCTAATATGCTAAAAACTATAAACTTCATGAAATAACTCAAACAAGCCCTAAATAAATGGGAAATATGACTGCAACATCTTCATGGATTTGAAGACATAACATAGTTGGCAATGATTTATAGATTTACCATAATTCCAATAAAAATTTCAGCAGGAAATTTTATAGATAGAGGTAACCTAATCCTCAAGTTTATAGGGAAAGGCAAAAATACAGGCTACTTGAAACACTTTTGAAAAAGAAGAACAAAGCTGAAAGAATCATGCTGATTTTAAGATTTGCTACAAAGCTATAGTAATCAAGACAGTATAGCATTGGCAAAAGAATGGACATATTGATCAATAAAACTGAATTGACATCAGTAGTCTCCTATAGACACACTTAGTTTGTTTGTGACAACTATGTAAATGCAATTCAAAGGAGGAAGGATAATCTTCAAAAAATGGTTTGAACAACTGGTCATCTATATGCATAAAAATGAAGCTTGCTCTAGATCTCACATGTTACATAAAAATCAGCCCCAAATGAGTCAGACATCACAACTTTTGAGTTGACACAGGAGAAAATCTTCATGACCTGGTTATGCAAAGGTTCTTAGATGTGTCACCCAAAGCATAATCCATAAAAGAAAAAAATGATAAATTGGATTCCAGTAAAATTAAAAACTTCTACTCTTCCAAGAGCACTGTTAAGAGAGTGAAAAGTCAAGCACAGACTGGGAGAAAATATTTACAAATCACGTATCTGACAAAGGATTTATGCCCAGAATATATAATGAACTTTCAAAACTCAACTGTAAAAAAACAGCAACCTAATTTTGCTGAGGAATTGGGAAAAGGCTTGAACAGACATTTCACCAGGGAGAATAATACACCAATGGAAAATAACATGTAAACAATTCAGCATCAGTAGTCACTAGGGAAATGAAAACTAAAATAATGAGGAAATGACATTCTAAACCTATAATGGCTAAAATTTTTTTTAAAAGTCAATTGTGGTGAGGATGTAGAGTAGCTAGAACTCCCACATGTTTCTGGTAGAACACTAAGTGGTACCACACTCTGGAAAACAGTTTGGCAATTTCTTTTAAACATACAACTTACCATTTGAAATAGCAATCCCTCCATGGTGTTTACCCTAGAAAAATTAAAACTGTTCACAAAACCCCTGTCCTGAAATGTATCACAGTTCTAGTCATAAGAGCAAAAAACTGGAGACAACTGAATGCCTTCCACAGTTGAGTGGCTAAACAGTCTATGGTCCATCTCTACAATGGGTATCACTCAGCAAAGCAAAGGAACAATCTATAGACAAGCACATCAGCTCAGATGAATCTCAGAATAGTGATGAGTGAAAAGAATCTCATTTGAAAAGGTTAGGTTCTTTGTATATGTATATACATATGTATATGTATATGTATATATATGATACATATATATGTATATATATACATATGTATATAATGTATATGACTTTGTATATGTATATGATGTATATGACTCCGTATATGTATATGATGTATATGACTCCATGTATATGACATTCTCGAAAGAGACAAAACCAAAGTGATAAAAAATGCAACGGGGGTTGCCAGTGGCCAGGGCTGAGGAAGGCATGGCCGTAAGAGAGCAGGAGGGGTTCTTGGGAGTGATAAGATGGTTCTGTGCTCTGAGAGAGGTAGTAATAACATAAATCTACACACGTGTTCAAATTCTTAGAACTCTACACAAAAAGTTATTTTCTTGCATTTTCCCTTAAAAAATAAAACTAAAGAAAAAAAGCTAAAAGCTCTTGCTTCTAGTTGACCAACCACATATCAATGGTACCAACCACATATCAATGGCAAGGTCAGCACTAGCTCCAAAGAGGGCAACAGCAGACAAGACCTTCATCTGTTACTGTTTGAGCATCTCTAAATGATGGTCACCCCACTCACCAAGTATTTACATTGCAACTTCTAATATTCACGATCGCCCTAGAAGGTGGGTTAGGCTCAATGTATAGACAAAAACTGAGGCTTAAGGGAAATAAAATAATCTTCCCTACATCTTGTAGCCAGTAAATGTTGAGTCTGGACTTATCCCAGTCGTTGTTGCCAACCTCACTGTAAACCTGCTTCCCTACATGACCGCTCACTAAAATTAAGAAAAGCAGTGAAAAGCTATCAGGGAAACACTAGAATAGCACTTTGATTCACATACATCACATATATCCTCTAAGCATATTTCATCCTAAACTCCAAGAATGTTTGAAACTCTGGGAGGTTCAGGGAAATTTAAAATCGACTCCCATTTTATCAGAGTCCTCCAATAGGGAGGTCTTAATTTTCAACAGGATAGAGTAGTTACCTCCAACCATTCAAATGTACAGTGAGTCATATCTTTCCCTAAGTGAATGAAGGAATCATTGTGACGTACACTATTTGACCAAGTATTTGCTAATTTCACAAGGAGGAATTTATATATTTGGAGCAAAGAGTAATTGTTTAAAACTCCTCTTTCACACACATGACTCTCCTGAGAAGCTGTAATTGGTTCTTCCCACTTATTTTTACTCCACCACACACACAAAAAATTGTAAAAATACACAAAATAAATCCATTTTAGAGACTGAAACTAAATATTACTTTTATTTCATTATAGTTATAGCTGAATAAATATCCCAAAACATTCTAAATATAGACTAAGCACATTTTTCATGTAGTGAATGATATCCACTCTAAAAGCTTGAGGATGAATTTTCCTTCTTGCTTGTGAATTATTTTCAACTATTTTGTTGGCTATTAGGTGTTTTTTTCACCAAAAACCTTGGCCTGAAATATTTTTGTCTCAGCTAAGACACAGATAAGAAGCTAAGGTCTTCAATAAAAGTGTTTCTCTTTAATGGTTTCTAATATCTGCTTTACTGAATATATTTTCTTTAAAAAACAGACATTGACAGATTTTGACTCAATATCTAGAAGATTTAATGCAAAGTAAAACCTAGTGAATGCCTTTTACTACAGAGAGTTGAGTGATCTATTCAATTCCCCAAAGAAAGTTAAGAGTAACAAAAGGAATTCCATCATCCACACCCTCTTTGACTTTTTAAGGAGTCCACGTACCACCCTCGTCAGGTAAGAGAAAACTTATCTTCTGTCACTGAGTTGGGGGCAGTTATGGCCAACAGGGTGGTTTGGGGGACCTGGAGGAGGCCTACCTTCCAGCAGGTCTCTGGCCAGACCAGGTTCTGCCCCCGTGGACCGAACAAAGTCTGACAGGACTGCGTCCATATCAAGAGTCATAGGATCGTGTAGGAGGGCCGCCCAACACTCAGCCGAGGTGGGGTTTGGAAGCAGGCTAGAAACCATCCATCTGCAGGAGAGAACAGAGAGACAAACGTGATGGAAAGAAGAAACCAGTTCCACTTGGTGTGACACATATTTGAGTCAGTGTGGGACAATGCCTGATTATTTGTGTGCAACAGTAAATAATAAAAGTCAGATTCAAATGTCATTCCCTTTGTAGGTGCCATAGGAGAGAGGGGCCATTCCCAACTCAGTCTTCCTACCCTGAGTGCATGTTTAGTTGCTGGGTCATGTCCAATTCTTTGAGAACCCATGGACTGTGGCCCACTAGGCTCCTCTGTCCATGGGATTTCCCAGGCAATAATACTGGATTGGGTTGCCTTTCCCTACTCCAGGGGAATCTTCTCAACTCAGGGGTCAAACCCACATCTCCTGTATCTCCTGCATTGGCAGGCAGATTCTTTACCTCTGAGCTGTTGGTGAAGCCCACTTCCCATCTTAGATTATGTCAATTTCAGTGATAACCAATAGAAAAGAAGATAGACTTGATTGTTCTAAAATAATCAAACACTTAATGAATCTTAGAGAGATTCATTTAGAGCTGCTAACACTTGCACGAGTGTAATTGTGTTGCTGCTATATCCTACCTACACCTTAAACAGTGACCCATCTCCACGCCCACCTCAGTCCTCACTTGGCTCTTAGGAAATATTCCACATCAATCCCGAGTTGACAGAAATACTATGCTTTCTGAAGAGGATAAATCTTTTGCCATTTTTCTAAGAGTTGTCATACTCATAAGATCAATCAATAAAATTCGTAAAGATTTCAGATTTCCTAATAGAATAATCCCAGTTAGAGGAATAAAATGTTACCCTGTAGCTTGATCACAGGCTAACTGCACCAGGCAATTGCTAGGGAGAAACAAACAGCACACGGCATGTGAGGGTGACTCCCACCAGTAAACTGGTAACACGGTCATGCCTGATAAAGCACAAATGCACCCTCTGTCTTCATTAAGAAGGGGTTGGCAAATTATAGTCCACTACTTTGTGAATAACGTTTTATTGGAACCAGCCCTGCCCACTCCCTGTCGTACTATCTGTGGTCATTTTTGCATGTGGCTGAGTCAAGCAGTGAAAACAGAAACTGTAAGATCCACGGAACCAAACATATTTACTATCTGGACCTTCACAGAAAGTTTGCTAAGTATAAATGATGGAAAATATCATCCTAGTGAGAATCTAATTAATTTTGCAAGCCATGGGGGTGAGTTTAAACACCATGCCACTGATGAGAACCCCCATTTCTGTTTCACTTGGATGGGCTCTGCTCGAGCGCTAGGTCTGTGCCGACTGCTGCTGCTTTAGAGCAAGAACTGCTGGCCTAATCCCAACCCCAGCTCGGCCCCTCTGATGAGAGGTGACGCACTGTGTTACCTCTCTGAGTCCACCTGAGCATCTGTAAGACTTGGGGAAGTAAGTTCATCGAAGGTGCCAGGCCCTGAGGATGGGGGAACAAGGCAGTGGCATCTGTGACATCAGACTACTCACTGTCCCTACACCAGCTTGCACATGGCTCTGACTGGGGTGTGATTTTTGGGTTGGTATGGCTTGAAAATAAGAAAATGATTTGACCTAATGTATATGGTTCCAATTAGGAGATTGCTGTCTTTCTTCTCTCCATGTACCGGGGCCTCGGCCAGGAGAGCCACTTCTTTGGTCAATTCCACCTGGAGGACAAAGCAGAAGATAAAAGTGTGTTACTCTCCTGACCGTCAGAGCCTGAGGCTTTGCTTCGTGTCATAGGAGGCACACCTGGGGCTTGGCTGACTGTCTAAATCAAGCCCATTTTCTCCTTGGGCACCTGCATACCAGGCGGCCATCACCTCCCAAACATGGGGGCTTCTGCAAGGTGGGTAGTGTCTCAAATTTCCTCTTTGTAACCAGTACTTATATTTCAGAGAGTATCCTTCCCCCATTTCAGACCTGTTTTCAACCTTAATAGTAAGTACCCCATCAATACATTGAATCTTGCATATTTTTAATTATTATAACACATATATAACATGAAATCATCATTTTAACTATTTAAGAGTGCATTTCAGTGACATTAAATATACTCTACATTATTATGCACCCATCATCAACACCATCATCTCCAGGACTTTTTCATGTTCTCCAATGGAAACTCTGCCCCATTAAACATTAATTCCCTCCCCTCTCCCCCAGCCCCTGGAAACCATCGCTCTACTTTGTTTCTAAATTTGACAGTTCCAGGAGCTTCTTATCAACAAATCACATAATATTTGTCCCCCGTTGACTGGTTTATTTTGCTCAGCATGGTGCCTTCCAAGGTGCATGTGTGTTGTAGCAAGTGTTGGGATTTACTTCCATTTTAAGGCTCATCTTAGTTGGGGATGCTGTCACAAAATGCCACAGATTGGATGGCTCAAACAAAGGACATAGGTTTCTCATAGTTCTGGAGGCTGGCAAGTCTGAGATCAAGATGCTGGCAGATCTGGCATCTGGTGAGAGCCCATATTCTGGTTGCAGATGCCACCTTCTCCCTGGGTCCTCATGTGGCAAGGACACAAATAGCATCATGGGGACTCCATCCTCACAATCTCATCTAAACCCAATTACCTCCCGCTGGTTCCACCTCCTAATACCATCACATTGGGGGGTTAGGGCTTCAACACATGAATTTTGGGAGGATATACCATGTGGCCACAACAAGGCTCAATAACATTCCACTGTATAGAGAGACCACACCTTGTGTAGCCATTCATCCATGGCTAGACACTTAGTTGTGTCCACCTTTTGGCCACTGTGTGTAACTCAGCTTACATCCTTTCTACACTGACACCAGGTCCCTGTGCTGAGACTGGCACTGGCTCTCACCAGTGCTGTGAAAAGATTCATGCCACACCTTCCCCTCTGTGCCTTGTCCTCTGCACAGACAGAAACTAAAGGGTGGACTTCAAAAGAGCTTTTTGCCACATTCAAGTATAAACATTGGTGCAGCAAGAGGTTAATGTGCATGTCCCCTTGAAGACTTCTTTCTTTTATTAAAAAATTATCATTTATTTATTTTTGGCTATGCTAGGTCTCTGCTATTGGATGTGGGCTTTCTCTAGCTGCAGCGAGTGGGGGCTATTCTCTAGTGGCAGTGCATAAGTGTCTCCTGGTAGTGTCTTCTCTTGTTGTAGAGCATATGCTCTAGGGCAAGTAGGCTTCAGAAGTTGCAGCATGGCCTTGGAATCTTCCTTGACCAAGGACTGAACCCATGTCCCCTGCATTAACAGGCAGATTCTAAACCACTGGACTATCAGGGAAATCCAAGACTTATTTCTTAAATCTAATGCCCCCACCACACTGAGGCCCCACATTCAAGCACTGTGAAGACACAGGAGCAGCCAGGCCAATGGGGACATGGCTCTCAGCCATTTTGGCCATCCTCACCCCTGCCCCCTCATGCCAGACCTCCAGAGAGCACTGCTGGGCCCCATGACCCACCCTTCATGGCCAAGGTACCCTTCGCCTGTCCTAACCCCATGAGGACCAGGGAGGCCATGTCCAGGCTCTGCATCTTGGCCCCTGGATGGAACTTCTCTGAGGGTCTTGCCTACTGTCCTGGGGACAGGGGCATGTCAAGCTCTTTCCACTGTGGCTTTGTCTTAGGAGAGGCAGTGCAGTCCAGGGATGAGGCTTGGCCCTGGAATCAGTCTCTCTCGGTGCCAAAATAGCCCCATCACCACTCCTGTGAGGCCTCAGGTATACTGTTTCAGTTTCCTCATTGGTGGATCAGGATCATAACAGTACCCCTTAGCTGGTCTACAGTCTGAAGGAGTTAGTGCGTGGAACACACTGGCCCACAGGGCACGCTCAGTAAGTGTGAGCTATTATCCAGCCTGTGATGATGAGGACCACCCTCGCCTGCCCAGGCCTCCACTGAGGAGCAGAACTGCTGCCTCTGGAAGCACTGCAGAGCTAGCTTGGATGGCAGAAGGGGTGCGTGCTGCCCTCAGCCAGTTCTGCTGGACATACCAGAAAGTTTGCTAATTGATTACATGTAGGTGTGCACCCAGACAGGTGAGTGCCTGTTCCCAAGAGCAACAGAGGCACCAAGTACCCCCCATCCCACCCCCTATCACTCTCAGACACAGGTGGGATGACCAACACCCTCTTTCCTAGCTGTCCCTGAGTCCAGATGGATACAAAGGCCTGAAAATGCACAGTAGGACCCTGGGGAGAACCGGGGAGGGGGTTCAAGGTGACCGTCCAAGCCCATCCCTAGGCTCTGTCTGCTCTCTGCAAAACACAGGGCTTTGGCCAGAATATTCTGTTTCCGGCCAATCACTGCCCATGTTCCAAGGACCAGGCACCTGGCTAGGCATTTTCTTAAAACCATGTTGGGGGACATGCTCTTTATCCTTAATAGGTATTTTTAAAAAATAATGTATATGCTAATTTAAAAAATGTTATACATTTTAACATATGATTTATTTATTTATTATTTATTATTTTTTTATTAGTTGGAGACTAATTACTTTACAATATTGTAGTGGTTTTTGTCATACATTGACATGAATCAGTGAAACTGGAGCCCATTATACAGACTGAAGTAAGCCAGAAAGATAAAGACCATTACAGTATACTAACACATATATATGGAATTTAGAAAGATGGTAATGATAACCCTATATGCAAAACAGAAAAAGAGACACAAATGTATAGAACAGACTTTTGGATTTATTTATTTTTAATGAAGTATATATTTAATTTACAATATTGTGTTAGTTTCAGGTGTATAGTGAAGTGATTCAGATATATATACATATATTCTTTTACAGATTTTTTTCCTTTATAGGTTATTACAAGATATTGAGTACAGTTCCCTGTGCTACACAGTAGGTCCTTGTTATCTATTGAGTAGGTATTTGCATGAGTCCTCTCTGTGTGTGAGGTGATGGAGGTTTGAGAAGGGAGAGCCAGGCAGCGCTGTTGAGATATACCCTGGTCTTTCCCTTGGGACGAGAGCTGCCCCCGGCCCCTGACCTT